CGGTTCAGGAGAGACCCTGTATTCGCGATCGAATGCTTCTTTTATCGGGTGAAGCGACGAGATCTCATTGCCATTTAAAGTGTCCGTTAAATGTCGCATTATAATAACGATGTAAAATCGTTTATAACCAGAATGAGATATTTAAGCCAGGGCTTGAAAAAATATCTGGGAAGAGAATTCAAGAATATTGAAAACTTGATAATATTTCAATTATAAATGATTGAAAATGTGAAGATCTTTCTGAATTTAATTAAACTTTAGGGATAAAAATAAATTAGTAGAATTTTTATTTTGCATAGAGCAAAATTCCCAAAATGTTAGCAGTCAATTTATTTATTTATTTTTTTTTCAAGCAAACAGAATTTTTATTACGTAAAATATTGCATAATATTGAGAATGCCAGTTTCTCCTAAGAAATATGTATTGGAAAAAGATTTATTGCTATTATTAACCATTGTAAAATTTTTTATTGTATTGTTTTCATATATTCGAAAAGACAATTGTTGCATCAGCTTATTCTATTATATATTCTCTCGGTTAAATCTCTTCAGTCTACATCCAATACCTAAAATCATTTCGCGGTTGAATTGCGTGACGCGCCAATTTCAACGATAAACACGTGTTACGGTTTCGCTTCGGAAGCATGCTGCACCTGATCTTATATGCATACAGATGCATATTTTACATTCCTTCGCATCAAAGTAAAGAATTCCTGACCTAGTGCCCGCGCTAACGGTAATATCGTAATACGCCGTATTTAAAAATTGCGCTCTCAATGACTTTTGCAAAAAAAGATAAAATTATCTATCTATATTTTTAATCATTCGTTTATCCGATTGTCCGACACGTAACAAAGTCTCGTTTCGTTCGAATAATAGTCAAATCGGTAGTCGAATATTTGATTTTGAAGTTGATCTTTGATCATTTGACCTGGGATCATTATAACGGAATAAAAAAAAAACCGAGTAAAAAACTGAGATAATCCGCGAATAGTTCACAGATTTATTCGTCGATTTGTAATCAAAATCATTTGTTTTTAGAGTGTGACCTCCGAGATTGCCATTCACGACCAATGCCAAGAATTGCCTCGTTGAATAATTAATTTACGGTGTATGCGCGTAGCCAAGTGTGACGAGGAGTAATTACGCGCGGTCGTAATCTACTACTTTCTAATCATATGCGACACGTGCGGATGTTTTTCCGAACAAACAATTAAATCGAGTTGGCGTAATTACTACGAAAAAGAACGTATTGGAGTAATAGAATTTTAAAAAATAAGATTAAAAGAGAATTTTTATTTTAACTACTTTCTATGACACACTTTTTTAGCAATGATAAAAATTAGATTTTAAGAAGGAAATGAAGGAACTATATTGAAATATTAGAACACAGATTTGAAAAATTTAAATAGACATTAGCATTTTGATTTTCTTTTAACAGAATAATAATTTAAAAAAAATTGCTATACATCATTTTATATATTCCTTGATGAGCATATAATATTACAGATTGCAAACCACTGATTTCTAGAGATTTATTGTGAGCATCATGATCGCTCCTTTCACGTAATACAAATATTTCTTTCATAAGACGCACGTTCATTAATGCGCAAACACGCACGAGAGATCGTGCTTCTGTAATCCGAGATTTTCCACATCATAGCGAAAGCGAATGTGGCAATTCGCAGACGATCTGCGACCGTCTCACGTGCATAAATTATGGCGATCTAGATATGAATGTGAATGAAAATATAGGATGTGCTTTATTTGGTTTATAAGCTTTGTTAGAATATAATAATTTTAATTATCATACACGAGATCAGATCAGATCATATCTTTCTTTTACAAAATAAAAAAGATTATATTTATAAAATTTGGATATTTTAGGGTGAAACAAAAAATATTATTAAGAGTTATTGAGGACTTCTTTTTTCCATATTAAAAATGAAGGAAAGCAATTAAATAAAATATAATAATTTTGTGTATATAATATATTTAATTAATAAGTTCCTGAGACGTATATCTCTTTCTAAGCACTATTTTTCCTCGCGTGTTTGTTTAACATCCCAACACTTTCTCTTTTAAAATAATAAAGAATTCTAATCAAGGTGAAGTAATCAACCTTAAAACACACAAGGTGAGTTAATCGAGGAAGGTTAATTGAGGAATCGGAGGGATTGATAGCGGTCTCGCATACTAATGAGAGGATGATCGTTAAGGTCGAGGCCACGGCACGGATATCGCCTCGGGGATTCGACTAATGTAAGTTCACCAGGTTGTAGACTTGAAACCCGTCGGATGAACCTAGTCAAACGGGTAGGAAAATCCGGATTTTCAAAGAACCGCGAAATGTGCCGACGCACGAGGTCGTGGATCTTGACACGCGGATTTTATAATATGAGGTAAAGAATATGAGATAATGAATGCAAGTACCGTTCGCGCGAGGAGGCGGAAATAAATTCGTACTTGTGTCGAAAAATGCGTAATGCATTGACACTTTTATTTTATGTGTTACCTGTAGAATTTAAATATAAGCTCTTCAATATTTATGTAATGATTCAATATTTATTTCACTCATTCTTTAACGATTTTCCATCCATCTTGTTTTCGTCAAAATATTGATAAGAAAAAAAAAAATTTAATTTCGGAACATCAAAATAAAATTTTAACGATGTAAATAAATAAGAGAATCTTGTTTCTTCTCGTTGTCAGTCAGATTCTGCCGATAAAATTTTAATTCATGCTCCTCGCGCGATCGCTATAGTCTCGGAAATAGCGAGTTTGCGTTGCAACAATATGCAAAACCTATGTTTCGCAGAAAGTACAGTGCGAGATCGATTCTTCATGATGTCTTTCAGAAGATATACACTTTCAAAGTATAAATACGCGACCGTTATGCCGCATCTACACATCTATGTGAATGCTTCTAAATTGATGCTGTATACTCGGTGTAATCATAAACCTTCATATTTCACTGCACGTGCCTAACCACGGAGATTAATCCGTTCGTTCACTTCAACAAATTATCCCAAGATCCATCTGTCGACATATCGAATGAAAAAAAATCGAACGACAGTATAAAGAAAAAAGTTGGGGTATAGACGATGCGGAAGAAAAAGAGTTTGATGGTCGATTAAACCTGATATCGCTCTGAGGAAGAGAGGCATTTCTTTTCCCGGTCACTTGTCATTAACATAAAATAATCATCCAATGTTGTAAAAATATCGATAAAATACGTGTTGTCCTTCATAATAATCCTCTTATTTTGTAATTAAAATATTTAATTACAAATTTTCATTGATTAAAAGAGAATTTATACGTGTATTTGATAGGTAAATAAAATTTTATAATTAAGAATAATGAAGAATTTCAAAAATGAAAAAGATATACTTTGCGTATCGTTATAAACAGAATTAGTAAAAGCGGAAAGAGAGGAAGGTTGATTAAATCTGAGATGGCTGTAATTAACAAACCAACGATTAACAAGCTTATTGTTTTACCTTTATTCACAACAACAGGTATGATATTTCGCGACGGTGCAGCGGCTCGGATCGACGGCAGATCCGCCGGCCGGTGATATGTAGGGTAAATCTTGATACACACTGATTAACAGAGAGCTGGCACACAACGGCTTTGCGCGTCGAAGCAAACACGCGCGCACGTCCAATTTTTACACGCGCATATCTTTTTCGTCTGTACCCGAATAAGATGAAAAGTATCTATTTTATCTGGGCATTTTCGGTCATAAAGAGAGAAAGAGAGAGAGAGAGAAAAGGAAAAAACGAGCCGATCCAGTTCTCGCTCCTTGTTAATGCCCGTTCCGTTTCGTGCCTATCCGGAGAACGGACAGACGGTCGGATATCGAGATATCGAACGCTGCTTCCCGCGACTCGCACAGATGATGATCTGTCATCGCACAGATGATAATCGCGTCGCCGCATGGATTTTATCCGCGACGCTTCATCTCGCCCGTTGATTGACCCTTGAGTGCTCCAAAGCGGATCAATTGAATATATTGGCACAATTAATTAATTTATGGATCGGAGGTGAGGGAGGTGAGGGAGTAAAGATTCATCCCAATCCCCGTGTCACCGATCTTCGGCGCAAATCGAAATTGAATCGTCGAATATTTTCTCCACGTTTATTAACGTAAATCTATCTGTATTAATCTCGACAGATCACGCTCGGAATACTGTATACGTTTTCTATTGTCAACGTTTCATTCGCGGATTTTATATCCGATCAATCTTCTCTTTGTCGGGACGTATTCTCCACCGCCGTATCGATCCGCGGATGTTCGCGGGTATCTCTCTCGGAGCGATACGCTATCAGTCCGAATATTTATCTCCTTGTAACATCGCGCGGTTTTTCCTCGTCTTTGTTTTTCGACTTTGCGCTCTTTATCCACCCGCGATACGTCAAACGGCCGTGGCCGGATTCGCTTGCTCGCGCACGCGGAGATAGCCGTGTCAGTGGCTTGCGCGCTGACTTTTACAGACTGATCGCGATTCCGCGATTGCACCGTCTCTGGCGCGGATCTCGCGTCTCCCCTTCCTCGGGTTACGCGCGTGTACCCTCCTCTTGTTCCCCCAATATGCGACTTTGAGTTCTGCGCGCTCGATAAATTAATTTATTATATTTATTTATTAATATTTGATAGCGATTTATTAGCATCTTTATATTGGGAGATAAATATTTATACTTCACATATATATGCGTGTCAAAATATTTATTATTGTACATTATATTCGTTTCTCTCTTGTTGCGTTTGTACTTTTATACATCTCTTACGAAGAAGAAGGTGTGATAAACACTTGAAGCTTGATATAAATCCAAATAAACATCGATAATAACCTTCCTTCTCTGCTTCTCGATTTTCGCAATTCTCGGAGGAGCCGTTATTTCGTTTCATTATACGAAAATAGTTGGTCCAATCTTCTCGAACGTATCTTGCATTCCGAAGCGAAACGAGAGAGATGCGAATTAAAATTCGTACACATATTATTTTTGAAAAAGTGCTGAGACAGAAGGTGGTTCCGAAACAAGATATATCTCAAGATTAAAGTGGATGTATACATTGGATATGTATCTATCTCCAATCCAGCTTCTAATATACAAAGTGTAACGCGTAATGAGAGGAACAAATATTGGGAGATTTATAGCATTCTAGTATATTGTGTATGCAAATTTTTAAATTGCATCTTCTAAAAAAAAAAGAAATTCGAGCATCAAAAAAGTATTCGAACCGACGATACTGTAAGTATTTACTTTTACGATTTGTGCGAAAAATATAAAAGAATTTTGTTATGTATATTATACAATACTTCTTCTTTCTCTCTCATATGTGCAGAGAGATTCTTTAAATTTTTTTTTGAATTAAATAAATTTTTAGATAAAAAAATTTCTGAAGTTAATTTAAATTTAATTTATATAACAAAGGGATTTTTTGAACTATTAAAATATTGAAATATTTCAAGATTTTTTATAAAGAAGACGAATATTAAATACGACAAAAAAAAAAATTTGATCGGACAAGAGGAGTTCAATTTTATGTCTCTTTCTCATCGTACCACGCGTTTTACAGATGCACTTCTCAATTTCTTAGAGGATTTTAGAGTAAAGGCACGATGTATTGTCCAGAATTCGTGACGTATCGCGCAAACCCACTTCGGGGGAGAGAGAAAAAAGAAAGAGGGAGAGCGAGTTCTCCTTTCGTCTCCCACCCCCGTCGCTGTTCTGGATCTAAATACGGAATTGATATTGAGAACGAAGAGACACACGCGGAAAAGGAATATGGGCGGTTACGCAAATGAAGGAGCTAACCGGCCAGAGAATGAAAAAATGGGAAAATCGAGGTACATCCATACGAAGATAGCGGTATACAGACGCCGCTGTGAAAACGAGAAAAAGGGGGTTAAACAGGGAAAGGTGGTTACGTTTGTAGAGCGTCATGATGAGATTACCGTTAACAATAACGAAAACGATAGGAATAAGAATAAGGATAGACATCATCAAATCATCCCCCATTAGTTTTCTCAATTTTAACAATTTCTTTCTCTCTCTCTTTTGTTTAATGCACTCAATATTTTCATAATATCAAAGAAACTTGATAAAATTAATATCTATTGAAACTTAATAAATATCTTTCACCCGCATACTATTAGATTCTAAATAATTATTTCTCATAATCAATGATAATAATTTCCGCAAATAGTTCAAAGTTATTCGATCTTGTGAATATGGATGTTTGTATCTGGTCGGAAGGTCTCAAGTAAGAAGAAAACACGCAAAGTTAAAAGTTTTTTAACATATTTTATTAGATTTGTCTGTGGAACGAACAAGAGGTTTCATAATACGATAATACTAATCCTAAATGAAATCTTCGAAGGCTCGCGCGATCCTCACACGCTGAAGATCCGCCTACGTCCCCCCGAAAAAGAATTCTTTCTTTACATTATCTTTTATCTTTTATCGAAGAGATATAAGATATACGAGCGAGAAATAACTCGTCGGATACGCATGTTAGGATACGCGCGAGTCCCTCTTTCATAACAAATCGCATAATTTGAACAAATCACGAACGAAGATACAATCGAAACGGGAAGAAGAGAAAAAGAAAACAACATGTATACGTATAACAATTATACGCAATTATAGTCGTAACGTATCGCGTTTTAAACATATATAATTAATCTTAAATCAATATATCTATATAGGACCTTACCATACTTGTACGAATTACAATAAGAAGTCGATAATATGGCACTTACTATATAGTTCACGGTGTGTCTTTGTGTGTTGTGTAAGAGCCGAACTTAAAACCGCGGTACATAATAACAGATTAGTTATTGTCTAAGTAGTAGAGCGATATGCTTATCGGCGTGGAGAGTGAAACTGCCCGCGCATGGCTGTAACAGGTTCGTGCAGCTAATTAAAGGCTGACACCTCTGTCGCGTATATATATATCCGCGACGCCGATCCTGTATGTGTGTGTGTGTGTGTGTTTGTGTGTGCCCGGATAATAGACGGAACTATGCACAATCCTCGTCCCGTCTTATTTCATTTCCTGTATAAAAACGTCCAAATATAAGATATTTACGATATATTGCCTCGTCGCGCGATATATATAAGGGTGCAAAATCACCGCGAATTTTCCGCCCCGAGCGATCGGAATCTCTAGTTCCCTTTTTCGCTATCATGTATCTTGCAGTGAATTCGCACATCCAATAAAATTTGCCGTTAACGCAATCGATAACAATCTCTTCGAAAGGAATAAAATTTCTCGAGAGCTCGGCGTGATCGATTTAACTCGCTTCTCTCTCAAAAATCTCGAAGAATCGTGTCGAGAATTTCTTGTTTAATTTTGCGATCGAGACATGGGGGGGAGAATAATTTTCTGTTACCACACATACACAATGTAAGTGTAATATCGAGATTAATTGTCTTGAGAAAAGCGAGTCAGACCATCGTTCCTCTCTCATCGCGAGTACACATATTTCTGCGAATATATATAAAAGATTTATATTCATGATCTAATTTCTCTCTTCTCTGTGTGGAGAATTTTCGAAAATGGCCGATAGACTGCTTAGAGATTATAATCGAACACACGATAAGTACCTTCCGATAACATTCCGAAAGAGAGTGACTTTATTCTATTCCCGAGATCTCGTTTTAACGAGGGTGAGCAAGATTACGATTGTATATAACACTATAGGAAGCTCCGTTCGCCGTCAACTCGAATGGCGGATTAAGATACGTTCTTGGCGAATTGTCGTTGTTGTACGTAATGGTCGTAGCTCTATACGCTAAAAAAGACGTCCCTCTCGCGAGTCGAGACGTCCCGGTAAAAAGGCACACTTAATTCTAGGTCGTTAAGTTTTTGTACGATAGTAACTGTCGGATCTCTCGATTTCCCAGTAATTCTCTGAATCCTGCACGCGCTCAATATACGAGAGTTGTGATCGACAATAACACTCTAAAAGAAAAAAAAAAAAAAAAAAAAAGAATCGAATAAGGGAGATTTAGACACTTGGCTATGGCATGGCAGTGTGGTCGTTCCGTTGTAAAGGTACGGTGATCCACAATAATTTACCCAGGGTGTCCTTTCACGATATCTACGATAGATTTTTTACCAATGAGAGTTTGGAATCGATAGTTCCTCAGCAAAAATGTTACAGGACGAGTTATGTGATTCAAAGATTTCTCGAAAACTAAGCTTCACAAAGATAGATGCACACAGAATTATAATTTACAGTTATATAATTCTTCTTGTTTAGATTTTATTTTGATAGTATTTTCATTTATAGTTTATTTGGAAAGATATACAATGATGAAAATTTAAAAAGTGTAAAGCTATTTTACGAAAATAAATCTTTAAATTTATAAAAAAATAGGATTTCATTAAAAGTTTAATATATTTGATATTAAAGATTTATTAGATATTAGATATTTTTAAGAAATATAAATTGAATTATTATTTGTTCTTAGAGAAAGTTCATTTCATGATATATAAATAAATATTATTTAATATAATATAATAATAAATATATAATATAATAAATATTATATTTATATATTTATAAATATAAATATAAATATTATATTTATATTTTATAAATATTAATATATTTTTAATATATTTAATATATTATTATAACATATTATTTAATATAATATAATCCATTACCAAATAATTAATTTTACGAAAATGGATATAATAGCGAATGTAATATTAATATATTTAGTGTATCATAAATGTGTGTGAAAAAGTAATTATAAATAAATGCAATAATAGAAAATTGGCGATAAATTACAATTTTTTCCTCGATATTTTAGCTAAGGGAATCTCGATTTTAGATTCATTTAAAAATTCGTTTCTTTTAGGACACCCTGTATAGATTTTGCACTAATATCGGGCGTGTGTTAGCGCACCGTTCGGATTGTAAATATCAGGACGATAAGAATAATACAATCACTCTAATCTTAATTCACAACCGAATCGGCTCTTTCCGAAAGTAATATTAGAAAGAAAAAAAAGCAAAAAATACACAAGGGATGAATAAACGAAACATTTAAAAGTGCACGTGAGACCGTCTGTGTTATTTTCATTAAAACGATAGAGGGGATGGAAGAAAGGAAAAAAAAATTAAAAAGGAAAAAGATAACGAAAAGAAAATACACATACGCTAGTCTCACGAAGACGAGAGAAGTAATCTACACGTCTTCGATGACACTTGGCGTTTATGTCCCCAGGTCAACATTAAGAAAAAACTGCTCCAAATAAAAAGTAGTCAAGAAATTGAAAATGGAAATCTCTATGCCATTTTATCAAGATTAGGTAAATAGTGTTTTAATTACGTATATAACGAGGAATTATGCGAAACACGGGAATTTTCCGCATTGTCGTGTGCGATATTGACATCTTATTATGTACCTCGCCATCGTTTTTTCTACCCCGTTCCCCCTTTCCCTCTCGCGTTTGCCAAAATTCATCTGTTCTCTCTCTCTTTCTCTTTCTTTGCAATTTTTTTTTCGCCGCTAATAGAAATTACCCTTATCACTGTAATAACAAGTAGCATCAAGAAAATGTCGTATTAAAAAATAAATTTCAATCGTACAATTAACAACATTATCCATGAACATTCGCCTTTCTGAGTCCGCGACGCGCCTTCCTAATAGGATGACTATTCGTGGTAATTCGCAAGTATTCGCAACTCGCATGCGCTGACCTGGATGCAGTTTTTCCAGGCGAGTTCGCGAATTCATTTCGTTCCTTTGTAACATTTACACAAAATTCGCAACGTCACACTGTCGCAACTTCGAAGAGCGATGAGCGCAAAATTTAATTATTAGTAATTAAAAATAAGAGTCTTTGGTTTTTTGCACACTTCTCTCTAAGATCTTAGCCTGTGTCTCGTTGACGCATTTTATAATTGATTGTACGAAAATGCATTATACTGGCATATATTTTTTTTTCTTTCTTACCACGCGCGCTCGAGCTAATTTTGATTCAGAATGATCCGATATACAATACGAGACAAATGCAAAATGCGAGGATGATAGAAAATATTTAAGATTCTTTCTAAAAGTTAATGAAATTTAGAAACGACTTATATTACAATAGGATGATCAAAATAACCAAAGAGCTTTATTAAAATTTTGTCGGAAAGAGAAATTATTAAATGATTGAATGGATACGAGAGATCATATCTCGATAGAATTACATAAATGTTAATAGTCATTACACTGTGAATTATCCTGTCAATTGTACTATCAAGAAGATTCGCTTCCGTTATTTCGTAAAGCGGACCGATCTATCGATCTACTCTACGTCATATGCGCTATCAGCAGCAATTAGCGTCTCGCAGTCTTTCTGGTTCGCGCTGTTCTTAATTTTTTTTTTTTTTTTTAAAATTTTTGTTTTTTTTGTTTTTTTTTTTTTTTTAAAATTTTTGTTTTTTTTGTTTTTTTTTTTTTTTTAAAATTTTTGTTTTTTTTGTTTTTTTTTTTTTTTTAAAATTTTTGTTTTTTTTGTTTTTTTTTTTTTTTTAAAATTTTTGTTTTTTTTGTTTTTTTTTTTTTTTTAAAATTTTTGTTTTTTTTGTTTTTTTTTTTTTTTTAAAATTTTTGTTTTTTTTGTTTTTTTTTTTTTTTTAAAATTTTTGTTTTTTTTGTTTTTTTTTTTTTTTTAAAATTTTTGTTTTTTTTGTTTTTTTTTTTTTTTTAAAATTTTTGTTTTTTTTGTTTTTTTTTTTTTTTTAAAATTTTTGTTTTTTTTGTTTTTTTTTTTTTTTTAAAATTTTTGTTTTTTTTGTTTTTTTTTTTTTTTTAAAATTTTTGTTTTTTTTGTTTTTTTTTTTTTTTTAAAATTTTTGTTTTTTTTGTTTTTTTTTTTTTTTTAAAATTTTTGTTTTTTTTGTTTTTTTTTTTTTTTTAAAATTTTTGTTTTTTTTGTTTTTTTTTTTTTTTTAAAATTTTTGTTTTTTTTGTTTTTTTTTTTTTTTTAAAATTTTTGTTTTTTTTGTTTTTTTTTTTTTTTTAAAATTTTTGTTTTTTTTGTTTTTTTTTTTTTTTTAAAATTTTTGTTTTTTTTGTTTTTTTTTTTTTTTTTCGCCATATCATAGGTCTGTAACAGCTTACGTATATATTACAGAGGTAAAGATATAGTATATAATGTACTTTGAGAAACTGCGATACATAATATATACCTGTATCTTTACGTCGACATAAAAATCAGAGTTAAAACAAAAGATTATCGTGAGCAGAGAAACACTATTACTAGAAATAATATAGTCTCGATGCCGCGTAGATCTTCATTTATCTCTATTCAGCTAACTAACGATCACGTACTTCTCGAAGAGCGAATATAACTTTTGTACTTGTGCGGTTACTTTTTTGTTCTCTTTTTTTCGTTTTTTTTTTCTTTAATAGCTTATACATATTATTCAGACTTGTTTCTCTTAATTAAGGCAGAGTTTCGTGATGCTCGGGCTAAGCACTTTGGCACTCGCTGGTTTCGGTTAAGTTGATAAATCCCCTTTTACGTCCATATATACGCACGCGTTATACGTGTTTGTCCGTTTTTTTTTTTTTGTTAGACGCAAAAGAGAATTTTCTTCCTTTTCGCGTAATTTATTTATAATAAGATCAGGTAATGTAACGGTATGGATTAAACGCGTCGTTATGTATAGCTTCAGGAACGAAGAACGGAGAGAAAACCGCACTCATCGTCAAAACATCATCGTTATTAGCTATCCGACTAATCCAAGAATTAAAAATGTAACGCTAGTTTAAAAACTTAAAACGCGACACACGATATAAAAATCCAACGAGCGGATTTTGCCGTCATTTTGGTACTGGTATTATCGTGGGCAAACGCGAGGAACATCGATTGCCGAGCGATTAACAATTTATTTAATATATGAAATCTAACAATCGTTCGTTTTTTTTTTTTTTTTTAGAATTTTCTTTTTTTTTGTTTTTTTTTTTTTTTTTTCTTTTTTTTGGAAACAGAACAATTCTTTTTTTTTTTTTTTTTTAGAATTTTCGTTTTTTGTGTTTTTTTTTCTTTTCTATCCTTTTTATGGACAACAGAAGAAAAATCAAAAATTCATTAAATATTTCCCTCTATCTTGTAGTCACCCAACACGCGAGGGACATCATTCTTGTTCTTCGTTGTCCTTGTCACTGGCAATGGTGGAAGCCTTCCCTCTTCTGTTCGTTTAGGGATCGGCTGATGGCGGTCGTTGCCTCGGAGGCTCGTACGGACTGGCTACAGCAATCTCCACGAGCATCCTGAAGGAGTCCCCGTTGTCCTGGTGAGCATAGGCGTTCTCGAGAGTCCGCGGCGGCAGACCACGATAGTGAATTTCGATTTGCTGTTGCTGCTGAACACCGGGCGTTGCTGAGAGGTGCTCTCGAGGGGCGCTCCAATACGCAGCGGGTTCGCCGCTGGAGTTGTCGTGGGAACTGTCAGAATTATTGTCATCCCTGTAAAAAGAGAAATGCCACGTTTAATTCACTAATTTCTGAAACATTGACGTCTGCGTTATTCGCAGAAACACGTGGCACGAATCACGTGCGAGAATCAGCGATATAAAATCTAAATCACGGTGTCACCGAAAGCATGTATTAGATGAAAAAAAGGTGACTGGTTCTTTTATAAGATATTTTTACATATCTCAATGTATTTGGTGTATTTTAGTTTTAATCAATTTTTTTCGTTTTATTTTTATTTTTAATTATTGTGTTCGCGATTGCGAACGTCTTTAACGTTTGCAAATAGCTGAGAAGCGTTTAGCGGATAATAGTTGCAAAGCTTCTGCTATTCTATTTTTTTCCTCCGTATCGAACGCAACCGTTGTATTGGTACAAAATTTACCTTCGTCGAGCAGGAGGATGAGAAATATCGTCGCCGTCTAACTGCTCGACTTGGGCTTCCGCATAGGGGCGAACGATTACGTTGGGCCATCGTATCGAAGGACGTTCGTCCTCGCTGTGATAATCGTTCGGACTGCTCTCGTAATCGTTCGGGCTGTCCTCGCTTCTGCGTAGGTAAATCTTGAATGATACATCTAGTATTTTCGTATACTTAATCTACTTATTCTTCTACTTTCTTAAAGTGTTCTCTCAAGCCTTCCTGTATTATTGATTTTTTGATACATGTCAAGAGGTTGACGTAAAGTTAGTAAGTCGGTGAAGCCGGCGGTATTCTTTTCCGCGTTAGCATCTATATTAAAACAACTACGTCGGAAATAGAAGCGAAAGGGAGATATTTACCGATACGCATGTTCCTCGTCGTAATCGTGATCTCTCTCGAGATGCTGCGCCGACGCGGCCGTCCTGTCCACGGCATGTAAATCCCAATTCTGGGACCTCGGTACCTCGATCAGCTCGGACGAATCAGACCTTCGGCCTTGTCGATGAACGCCAGCCTGCACACTACGACGAGCGCGGCGCGATATCGTGTAATGGAGAGGATCCTTGCCATCCTTGCGCAATAAATCGGGCAAGATACGCCGCCTGGCATTTATGAACCAGTTGCAAACCTGCGAAAAGTAAAGCAGTATATGTAGCGGGTCGATGTCGAGGTATTTGTTTCATGTAGGATTGTCCATCCATCTGTCACTATCTCCGAATTTCATTCCCATCGATTCGCTTGATATGCTGACATGTTTATCGTGATTTTTTTTTTTGCCTTCTATCTTTCCTGCCCAAGTTTATCGAAAGATATTTGAAAATTTTTAGAAGTTACTCAAAATGACAAATTTTGATTTTAGATATTTTCAAGATATCTTTAATCGATTAAAAATTTGACGTTTCGTAAAAAAAAAAAAAGAAAGAAAAAAAGTCATACTGACCTGAAGGACTGAGAGCGAGGTTTGCTCGCTGAGATTCGACTTCTCGCTCTCGCTCGGATAAGCGTTGTATCTGTGCTCGATCAGCCAACGCTTGAGGATATTCACCGCTTCCTTAGGTAGGTTTCCGCGGCGTTTCCTACGCGAGGAATCCTGGCCGGACGCGTTGTGGTGATTTCGGTGAATGTCAGGCGACGTATCCGGCGAGATGTTTTCTGTTTCCGATAATCCGCTATGATCGTCATCCGTGCTGCTGGACGCTCGAGGTGCGGGTGGCAGAGCTCCCACCGGAGCTCCTGTCGCGGCTGCGGAGCGTCGATCGTAGTACGGAGCCACTGCTAAAAGATCGTACGCATATCATTAGTTTGTTAATCGTTTATATACAATATATATGTTTTTGTATCTTCGTAAAACGAAAACGAGAGATCCACGCGAGAAACGAATCTCGCGACTCGATTTAGTTGTTAGTTCACAAATTATTTTTGTTTTCTTTTTTTTTTTTGGTCTTTTCTTACGCGGTGGTTGCCCAATCTTTTTATTGGGCTTGGAAAAAGTACGTGGTTTAAATTAAAAAATTAATTAATTGAAAGGGTACTTTCGCAAAACATAGAGACGAATCGTACTCGGTCCGTGTTATTAATCAATTAATGGAGAATATTTTTATCAATGATCTCTGTATTTTTATCACAGAGTCATCTAACATCTTGATGTACTTATTTTATCACAGATTTCTATATCTTATTATTGCTTTAAAAAGGACTAATCTCATATGAAGAGCATCGTAACGCGTTAATTAATAATCGAGTTTGAAGGTTGATAGTGTATTTAAGAATGATAAATTGATATGATAAGAATTTAAAACACACGATGACTTTCGATTGTGCAACGAGATAACAGAGAAACGCGCATGTGTGTTCCACCTGATGCTGACTTCCGAAAGGCAGCTTTTATTTCTTCTCCTCGGGATAAGCAGAAGTTGTTTGAACAGCTAAATAAATGTCAGAATGATACGCCAATAGTTTCACATAAGTCGCTCTTTTCGATCGGTCGGTTCTATTATTATCATCTCCGTTACGAACAGAGACAGCTTTACAAGCGAACGGCGCCGATATCGCGTAAAGCGAATCTTGCGGCGATAACGTGTCAATTACGCGTTGAAGTAATAGAGAGATTCTCAGCATTTACGCGAACGCGCCTACATGTTTCGCGCGTTTCCCTCACGCACAAACGTAACGCCGGATTGGTCGGGATTCGCCTTTCATTGAGGCAGCGCACGCGTATAGACGTCCGGATTATGCAATCCAAGGTTACGGGGGAACGAGCGTAAATAGTAAGGTCGTAAGAGTAAGCGAGTTGCAGTGCGAGAGAGGCAACCGACCAAGACACCGAAGGAATTTATTTCGACGGTGGTCGGTGGTCGAGGATGGTTTTTCGCGACTCGTCGATGCTTTCTCGACGAGGGTGTACCTGATTCCTGATCTCGACATGTGTACCGTATAAAAGGGTGCTTAAAAAAACTTGGATGGAAAAATAAATTCTGCGACTCTCTCAAGATAAAACGGAAATTGATGCAGATGGTCTCGAAGGAGACGATAAGAAGATAATAAGGTACTCTAATGTATCGAAATTTTTTCTGATTCCTTCAACCTTCATTTTTCACACGCAAACTCTACAAAAGAGATTTATTATAATTTATTTATTATTCACGCTTTTTGAAATTTTGCTTCTGTTTTCAATTCGAACGATTCTTCAATGATTGATATTTTTTTTTTTAATTTCAGAATGGTTCTTCTAAAGTTTCAAACAATAATTTTTCGAAAGTCAGTCAGGTGTTAATGTTTCATGATGAAAACTTTATAGATTAATGCACATAATTTGAATTTTAATCATTTATATGAAATTTTCGATCTGATTGTTACAGATTCTAAAGGGATTTCGACAAATTTAATTTATGTATAGGAATCGGATAGTTTCTATTTTGCATCTCAAAGCGGTTAGTTGTGTGTTATCATATAGATCATTTAAAACACATATTTTACATATTATTATTTATCAATTAATAATATCATAAAATTTATTTAATGTGTAATTTTATCTTATATTTTTTTGTATTAAAATTTCAAATAGCTTAAATGAAAAATTCACTATTAAAAACATTATTGATATAAAATATGTTAATTATAATAAATAGTAATAAAGAGAGAGAGAGAGAGAGAGAGAGAGAGAGAAAAATTTTCACTCAAATTTACCGTACGCAACATAAATATTTTCAAATACTTTCGATGACAAAATGTACATACAAATTATTCTAAAAAATAAAACAGAAATATTAACAAATATATATTTTCAGTGCATTTATCATAAAAGCAAAAACATTTGCAACAACTTAATCGAATTTAAACAATTATAGCTTAGTATATTTTGATAGAATGAAATGAGAGATAGAAATAGAGATCTTCGCGAAAAGAGAAATAACATTGATAATTGTGCAAATATTATACAATATCGCGCAACACTCTATATATATATGCGCTATAATCTAAATAAGTCTGCATAAATAAATGAGAGTTCAGCTGTTCGTTAGCCACATAATCAACAATTGTCTTCTGTAATATAATTTTTATCGCTTGTTTCAAGTGCTGGAACCTTTCCCAGCAGAAAGTTCTTCAGGAACGTCTTGGTCTTGTTGATCACGCCAAAGATGAAATCCTCGGCGAGACTTTAACTCGAGCATCGGAAAATTGTGCCGCTATTAGGGCTTAGGCACAGAAATTTTCTCAGTACATATATAAGGTTTCAGACGCCACTGTATCTAACATATCCGAGAGTTAACGGGTCACACGATCGGCGAGCTACGCGGTAAATATTAATATCAGAATGTTACGTAAAAATCGGGGACGATATCTGAAGGGTCAGAAAAAACGCATGCGAGGGTCGCGTCACGTTACTAACATTTGCGAGATATAAAGCTACAATTTTACACATATCCTCGTTATATAAAGCGATTCAAAACTAGATTATATTCATCGACCCTCTTAGAGATGAGGGGGAAAAAAATCACAAAAATTTATAAACGCCAAGCAACGGAGCGATATTTTCCAAAAATTAATCGGGTAATAAAATGCAAAAAAAAAAAGTGCGGGATAAGAGTGTAGTTACTTGTCGAAGTAAAGAATGTAAAATAATACCACTGTACTTCGTACATCGCGTGCGTCGAAAGACACACCGCGCGTAAATCATATGGAAATAAACTCTAAGGTCGGTTTCCCTTTCCACGCAATGCGGTCTCACGCGAGTTGTTATTTGAATAAGATTATGTAAAACTTATGCGAAGCAGAGGTCGATCCGTAAGCAACGCAAACGTCAAAACGTAAAAACAGCAGGGACGAGCGAGTTGTCATGCCGGACAACAAACGCCGCGCGATAAAATTGTATTTCTTCTATAAATTTGCGAAATTTTCGACTTGAAACTCACTTTCGATTATAAAATTAAATGATTATAGGACGATGTAATATAATATAAATTATAGTATGTTACGAAATTATCTTTTCTATTTTATTAATTAAAAAACTAAACAAGATTAAGGAGTAGAAAACTAAATATGATGATATAAAAATAGATCAAAATATTGATAATTTCTAAAATGAAAGTCGTCGACGTACAATACATCTTCGCCGATTTAATCGTCGAAATTGTCGAGTTTATAATAAACGATGAAATCTTGTTTTTTTTTTTTTCTCAATGAATTTGATAAGAAAAAATTGAAAATATTTTTCGTCTATTAATATATCGCTGATCGAAATCATTGTAACATCTTATTAAGCGACGGTCAATATTCATTCAAAGGCATCTTAATTAAACAGCTGAATCACGATCGTCGCTTTTTCGATCGATCGCTACGAACAATTCGTTGCCAACCGCGTTACGCGACACTGCCAAGTGTCATTACACTCCGGTATGCCCGATGTGAGTTTAGAAGCTGGCATTTCATGTCATTATAAATTTAGCAAGATCGGCGTAGAATTGACCGTCGTTACGCGGCGCGACGCGTCTAAAAAAACAATCGGGGAGTGAAACGAAGGCATCGATGATTACATTGCGTTCTCGCCTTCTCTTTCGTTTTTAAAATTTACGTTCGAATGATGCGGACGTTCATAATTACATATACATCTTATACAGTGGAGGTTGACGGGTGATACGATTTACAGCCGAGAGATAATGTGATGATGTTAACGTTACGTATTCTTTCTACAGTCTAAATTTGAGTTGCATCTATACTTTTCTGAATGTGTATCTTTATAATGTTGTTTAGACGCCGGTTGATTCATAAATAAACACTGTTGATATGTACGGTCACCAGCGAAGAAATCGAAAAAGTTTCTTATAAAATATGTAGGTAATAGGAACGGGGTGAAGATTTTTTTCTTTCAAGAATATTTTCTTCGTCTCTTACTTAGCCGCGCGCGATTATACTCGGCTAGCAGTCGCACCTATACCTAGGTAGTGCTAGGAAGACTCGTCGTTCTCAAAATAATCTAAGTGTTCCGCGCTGGTCCCATATTTAGCGCGAATATCGGACTGATTCGAGTACAGGTCAAACAGAGACCGAAATTGCGGGCAATATACGAATATAATTATATTTAAATTGATAAACTTTAAATTAAATTGACAAAAATTATATATAATTTTTTTTTTTTATATGTATTGTGGACAAACATTTTATATTTGAATATACTTAAATTGGCAAACACGCAGAATATACAGACTGAAACAATTTAGACGATCGAGAGATAGGTATAAAATTATTTTATCAGAGAAAGTCGAGTTTATCAAAATTGCATAAATAGCGCGATACGAATCGATATCCCGATATTGAGTATAGCTCGAGGATCTTCTCTCAGGAAGTGCATCGTGCATCTCGTCGAAAAACGACGGTGCTGATTCCGGAAACGGAATCCACTACTAGAGAGTCTAACGCTTAGAGGACCGACTAAACTTAGCGCTTGAGTTTTGCAGTTACGTAAGGTCCAGTAACCCGACGGCGTAAAATTAGGATAGCTCTCCTTGCTCTTGCGTGCGTGCGTGCGCTCTCCTATTTTTTACGCGACAACTGTCCTCGTCTCATAGTTCGGTATATCCATCTATCATGCGGCCCCCGTAACAGAATCCACCATATCTGATGATGGATAATCTCTTATTCATTCCGTATTTATTGGCGTATTGCGAGATTTATCCAGTCACTTATGTATATAAATATCATGCAAAATATTAAATAGCAATTAATAATACATCTATCTAAATATTTGTGTATTTGTATGTCATAGATTTTTTTATAAATTCAACTAAAAAATTTTATAAAAGAAATTTTGAAGATTTTTTTTTGTATGTTAAATATTACTTTTCAAAAAGGCTATAATAAGATAATGCATGACACGATATTTAGCGTTACAAATAATATCCGAAATATCCCGCTGTATTTTAAACTTTATATACGAGAAGCGTGTTAATGATTATATTATATTATATATTTAAGTGGATTGTCGTCGTTTCTAAATCATTCGTCTATTTTCTTACGATTTTCACAGTAAAATATCCATGTAAAGTAGAGTCTAAAAATATTTGGTAACACACAGACACATATAAACTAACCCTTTATGCCCTTATACATATGCAAATAACTTTGATCCTTAGTAGCGTAATGTTTTGTTAGCAGCAATGTGAGTAAATCCCGCAGATGAGGCGCTAGTCGATTTTCGTTATCTGTAAATGTCTCTTTCTGGCATAAAAGAAATTATTTAACAAATATTTTAACACTATTTATTGTCAGAAATCTTTTGAAAATGCATAAATAATCATAGAACTACAGGGAAACTTTTATAACAAATGGCATTCAAACTTCGTCATGAAGTATTTCTTTCATCTACATTTATAATAACTATTTATAAATTTAGATATGAGCCGCTATTCTATTTCAATCGCGATATTTTTCGCTTTCAAAAGGTAAAACTCTTTTCCTAGGAAACTTAAAATCTATTATTATAATAGTGATATGTAATAAAATATACATTATATAAAGCAACACTTTTTCCAACAAGCACGTGTGTAGTCAGAGCTTTTTTATCTTCTTTTTTTATATTTCTTTATACTTGCATATCTTTCGGAGATGAAGTATTAATTTTTTGTTAAGAACAATAAATTCGGGATAACTTGATAAATTAGCAATTAATTTAGCACTTAATTACGCCAATATCCAAATTTAATTTTTTTCTCGCGCTATCAAATTAACGAAAAGTTATTCGGCTATTAATTGCTTACAATTTTATTTAAATCCCTTCGCGCGCGTTTATTGTAGTATGTAGTATATTTCATTTATCTATTACATATATATATAATTATTTCCAATGTCATTCAAGAGAAATTGATATTAGAAAGAAGGTACGGAACGCACGTAAAATTTGTTTCGTTCAGTTATTTCTCGTAAGCAAAATGTAAAGTGCTTTGCATCTTTTTGTACCTTCTTTCGTGAATCGAGTATTTTGTAGTATTTTAACCGTAAGTCCTTCTCTTTTTTATAAAAAGATGTTCCCTAGAGACTAATTATACAGATCTGATAGTCCGTTAATACTATTATACTATTATACCGATAATATTATTTTTTTGTTAAGTCATTGGAATCTTGAAAAAAAGTATAGGATCTCAAAAACGTTGATAGGACGTTTTTGTGATCAAGAAACAGCGATCGAGATTGACCTACGGATGATCAACCGAGCACATTGCATATGGATTCGACCAAGCTAAGGTACGTAATCACCGTATTCAATGCAAAGTGTATTGATAGACCGAGCGTGTACAAACAGATGTCACGGACGTGATCGCTGCGATATTTTAGTACGACCGGATGTAGGGGAAACTATAATACCTGAGATACTTGGTTTTTTTTATTTTAATTTTTCAAATTCCTTCCAGGAATTTTGTACATGTACGCAGATGTTGCCCACATGCAAATAGTCTTGACGTATATGAAAGAGATATTTTACAATTTAACAACAAAAGATCTTAAAGATCTTAAAAATATTGATAATTATATTATAAAACATTTTTATTATATATGACTATTTATTATAACTATGTGAATAGATGAAATTAAATTTCAACGTTACGGAGAATATTAAGAGTGATTCTATGAAAATTCTGTGACAATTTTCGCATATACCTATATAGCAGAACTAAATTTTGTATGTTTAAATTTTTTAAATTTATTTATATGTATAAAGTCTAAAAGTTTTCGACCTAACCATGAACAGTTTCTCTCTCTTTCTCTCTATTTTTATCGAATAAAAATTCTTTTATTATTTTTCTCCTTTCATTGGAATATATTTCTCATAAAAATAATATTTTTCTATCCGTAAACTAAACCATTACTTGAGCGAGCAGATATGAAATACTATCTTGAGTCGAAATCCAACATCTTAAAAACAAAACCGACAGGAGGTAAGACTCGATAGCTGTTTCGAAAAATGAGAGAAATGACTTTCTCTCCGTTAACGGAACGCGAAAAATCGTTCTGTTAATGAGAAGTTACTGTATTATCTCGATGTCATCGTATATATTGCGATTAAGTGTTTCGATGCGTCCGTCATTGCCAAAGAAAGAAAAAGCTATTTATGCAATAGAGATAAATATATACTTGTACATATTAACCTTTCGTCAGTGGCTAATGCTCTCTGAGATCTGGGTCAGTGGCGATAGGGACATTTCATCAAACATGTATCTCTCTCCGTCATCTTCAAAGTTTTTAATTCGTTATTTATTTATTTAAAAAATGTAAAGACGTAAAAAAAGGCAAGAAGATAAACATTGATTTAAAGCAATAATATCTTGTTATTCTATAATTTTAAAATAGACAGATTTAAAAAATCTGATGACATATAGATCGATATCACTAATAATTAAAATTTTGAGACCATTAATGATCATAATTCTATTTTGGTGATTATTTATACTTTACTAATGGCGGATGCTAAAAAGTTTTATCCTACATACACGAAATATATTAACAAGTTTAGCCTGTTTTAGCAAAAAAATCGAATCAAAGAATAAAATAGAGATCAAATTTAGGAAATAAATTCGGATAAATGTTGAGGATCAATAGACTGAAGATGTAAGCCAGGCAATATCATTTTTCGTTGAAAACTAATGAAGGGTAAGCGACCCGGTAACGCTAACCGGTTTAAAAATAATGTCACGTAAACGATACGCACTGAACCATCGAATTGAAAGTGAAGGAGAACGCACGTCGGCGAGTGACATATTTTAGTAAGATAGTCATATTAGACAAGAAAGATGACAGAGGAGTACACATATCGCAGACTCTTTATAAATTCTGCCTTCTTAAAAAAAGCTTAAACTTTTTATAAAAATTCGATATGTTATATAAAAATGTTAAGTCTTTTTGCAGAAAGACTGATCTTTTGTATGAATCATGTAAGAAAAATTGTCAAAAGTCGATATCCTTGAACTTTGATTACTGAATAATTGAGATTTGTTTCCATAAATAACATGGATCACAGAAATATTTAAAACCTGTATTTTAAAAATGTCCCTTTTAATATAAAATTAGCAGAAATCTGTATACATTTTGCCTTTTTTAAATTGTATAATTATTCAAGCAGGATTGAGAAACATGTCTGAAAATAAAGAAACATGTCAGAATTCACACTTGAACAGATAATTTATTAATTTTTACTCTCGAAGCTTCGATGCAATAGAATATTCATAATCTAGTTTAACAAGCAAGAAAAATCAAAATTTTCAGCATCGAACATCGCGATTTTTTTACATCTTCTGCGTTAAAGTTTTTGCTCGCGCTAAAATTCATTAATAAATTTAAATTGTTAACTAACAAATTTGTAATTGTAAATTAACAAATTTAAATTGTAAAATTTAAAAAAAGACAATGCGTGTATATAGAAGCAGATATTAATTTCATGTCTTAAAAAATGCCATATGTTAGAGAAAAACATTTTTTAAATATAAGTTTTAAATATTTCTGTGGTTCATGTTATTTACGAAAATATAAATCTCTCAATTAATATAAAAAAATAACTAATTTTTTTCATTAGATATTTATAAAAGAATTACATTTAGTAGAATCCATATCAACATTAATTTACTTTATATGGCGGTGCACGCAATCTAGCAAGACAAAATTATTTCATTTATCATATGCAAATATTTTGCATTTTTCTATTGTTTTATAATTTTCTATATTAAATATACTAATCGCTAAATTAAAAATTTTTGGTGAGACGTATCTACTTACAGAGAAAATCTTGAGAAAGAACAGATCTTACGTAATATAAAGTTCGAAAAATATAGTTTCGTCTCTTTTTTAATTTTAAAATTAGATTTGATATAAATAATAAAACACAAAAGAGCGCGAGAAAAAAAAAGATAAAATGTTTACGTATATATAGGAAAGCAAATAGAATATTTTGTCTGCTAAGATCGTGCGCCATGATCCGAATCTAATAATACCCAAGTTTAACATTTCATGTATCGTACGATAAGTTTATCAAAGTTTCATGGAACGATGATAGTTTTTCTCCGATCAACATGCTTGACGAACGAAACATCAGCCTTGACAGAAGGAACTTATAGCCCGCGCATTGCCATTGACGTGAGGAGCACGTGGTCGTCCGCTCTTACGAGCGACCTTACGGGGTTTACACGAGTATCCGCACGGAGTCTTCCTGACGTCACGCGCCGGTGCGGCGGCGGAATGACATGCCGTCGAGAGCCACCACGTGCTTTCGACATACGTGAATCGCCTACGCTCTCGTCGCGGCTGTCACGCGTCGACGTAATTCTTTAAAAAGCGCGTGATTCTGATGGCGATTGGCGATCGACGAAACGAGTATTCGTCTCAGATGAATTTGCCAATATCTTGCGATGCTAGTATTTTCGTGCATCATGTGACAATAGTAGCATCATAAATCTCGTGCAATACGCATTGACGTTGCAACGGATCTTACGGAGTCGATATAGTATTTATGTAATTTTAATGTCAATAGATTATTCGAAATTTCAAATGAATAATAGCAAAGCACGACAATTACATATGTCATATATACCGTACAAATATATTATTTCATTAATCGATATAAATAATCGATATAAATAAATATCATAATTAAAAAAAAGGAAATTAAGACTTTTAATTAAAATTATTTATTCTTAAGATTTAAAACTGTTAGCAGAGTTATAGCGGAATAATGCATATTGACAGATGTCACAATACTATCTACGTAATAATAATAAATATTTAAAAAACAGATAGATATGTGAAAAATGAAGAAAAATAAGCGGGATAAAACATATAGTTAAAAATATAGAAGTTCTGTATAAAATTTTTTCGTTTGTTACGCAAGAGAGATTCTCATTTATTATAGTCAATTTAAATTTCGTAAAGAGAAAACTTGGATTCTTTCAAAATTTCATCAATAATTTATATGATGCCGCATGTGGTGCGTTTGAGTTATATTCAATGACATGATAGAATTTTCGGCGTACTTCGTACCGACATGTGACTTGCCGAAATCGTCCGTGTCGAAACCGATCATCCAATATATTCGAATCTCTCCATACTTTCGCCGATCGACAATAAAAAGTTACGCTTGCTTCAATGAACGTGCCGCGTGTGTACGACGTGGCCGCGACTCGCACGCTGATTACAATCTTTCTACATCTACACAATCGCGTGATATAATCCGCGCGTGCCGGTCATTCATAAAAAAGAAATCTCCGCGCATGACCGCGTGTCATCGTCCGACATTTTCGGCTCATCAGACGGAGCAACTTAAAATCCGCCATTACTGTCACTTGCGCGCATGATAAATTTTCACTGTCGAAATAATCATAAACGGACAGTTAAATTCGTCATATTTAAAGCTGACGCGAAACTGACGTACAAACAACGGCTTTGAGAAATTAAGATATATCGTTGAAAAATATAAAATATTTTCTCTGTACCTGGCCTGTCATTGCCCATTCTTTGTTCTAAATGCATGGCGGCCGGAGGTAGCATTCTTTTTGACGCTTCAATGTCGAAAATGTGATGGATGGATTCTTAATAGTTTCTTCTTAATGGTTTTTATATACAATATATATACGCCTTACGGAGTTCTGCCTTCTTTTAAGACACACAATAACACTCTTTTGTCTAATATAAGCTTCTTCACGTCATATATGTGCACTTGTCGATATAGTTCTTGTCGACCATCTATTCTTTCTCTCTTTCTCTCTCTACTCCAGAACAGAACGTTTTCACTGATATCTCTAAGATACAAAACGATACTTTTTTACGCGGCGTGGACACGATATTGTGAATGCCAATTTCCGTCGGTATAAAAAATTTTGCAAAGATCCGCAATGATCCCGTTTGAAATTCCTCGTGGACAAAAAGCTTCGATTCGTCAGCTGTTCCAAATGTCAAAAATGACAGTTGCGTCCCGGTAATCACTCCGAGTATAATCTCTCTCTCTCTCTCTCTCTCTCTCTCTCTCTCTCTCTAGTCTTTTTCTCGACTACGTTCTGACTGCCCGGAGACACGAAAATGATCCTGTTCGAACTTTTGCGCAAACGTTTAAAAGCTACGACAGCTGTGCTCCCGCTTCGACGCAAACTTGTGGAAACACATCGGCCGAAAACCGGTTCGATTAAAACACGAGCGTCCGATCTGGATCGCGAGGCGATGACGACGGTAACGATCGAGAAGACAACGCGAGGACGACATCGGCATTGTCGACGGCGACGTAACCGCCAGGCCGCTTCCTCGGCGCGGCTGCATTTGACGGCAAACTCGGCGCGATGAGCGACGGCGACCGTAGCCGCCGAGAGACCGTCCGTTCGCGATCGTCCGGACACGATTGCCACATCCGAGTGTCTCTCTCACCCCTCCTTTCGCCGATAACAGGACGGATGATCCGGAGTGTCCGAATATCGCGCGTCGACGCCACCGCGACCCGTTTCTTTTTTCTCCTCTTTTTTTTTTTTTTTTTTCACTCGCGAGGACGTGTAGCTGACCCGAATCGTGTTCCGCTCGGCGCGCGACTGCCGGCCGCGGGAGACGCGGCTTCGCTTTTACCCCACTATCTTCGCGCGATCGGAACAACGCGAGAGACGCACACATACGACGCGGTTGGGTTACGTCACGTACTCGTCGTAATGATAGTAGATAGGTAAAATCATCGCGGAACGCGGAGAGTTGGCGGGAAAACTTTACAGTCGACAAAGGTTGCCGCAAAAATATTCTATGTATCTTCCCGCTCCCTTCTATCTCCCTTTCTCATTATCTCTCTCTTTCTTATCCAAAATATATTCAACTTTCGAAATATACTTCATTTGTATATCAAAAGACATACGTGGTCATGTCTAATGGCGAGTGTCATGCGCGGCATTTCTTTAATCGAAATTTCAAAATGCTTGAAATTAAAGTTTTATATATGGTGAATGCTATTTTATGAAAATACATAATATTGTGAAAATGATTTTGAGGCGAAACAAATCATTCTGACCGTTAAACTCAATAGGTTGCATATATAAATTTTCTTAAAGAAATGTGAAATTTCCGCAGCGACCTTGACAGTTCTTTTCACTTTCTATTTTAAATGTTTATTTTAGATATTTCTAAGTATAATATTGTCTAAAGTTTCTATAGAGATTCTGTCTATAGATAAAATTTTTTCCAACTCTCAAAAATAAGAACACCAATTGTGTATGAATACAATCGTATCTGAATAGCGACGATTCAACGTTATTGTAAGCATATTGAAATAAAAAACTAAAACATGTTTAACATTTTTACTTTAACGTTCAAAATGCATTTCATTTATGCATCAAGAGACATACATGGTTTGAAATGAAAAAATCATATTATATTATTATAAAATAATTCCTTTTGCGGTTTTTTATTCATTACAACAAGAAATTTAACGATAATCAATATGGAATATATTTTAGACAATTCATGTCGTCTGAGAAAAACGTATCTATTATCGAAGTAAAATATTAATCGGTTCTCGAAAATCCTCTTTAAGCAGTTTCCTTAAAACAATTTCTGCATAAAAAGCCACAAAAAATCACACTGGAATTATTTTATATAATATATTTAATTAATTATAATTAATAGTTTTTGTTTTTGAAAGATTTTTTTTAGAAAAGACTCTTTTTAGAAACAATTAATAGAGAAACTGGCAAATAAAAGCCAAAGCGCAAGTATTAATACACGAATTTTTTATTGTTAAATTCTAGTAATAAGTAATATGTATTAAAAATGTACGTTTCAGACCGTTTTTTGGTCCATCTTTAATATAAGTAGAAATATATAAAGATTAAATTGATGTTTTTTAACTTAATGTACACAATATTCGTTGTTATAGTCGAAATTCAAATCGAAATCAATAATTAGAGAGAAAGACTCACCAAAACCCGCGTAGTCTGTACAAATTAGTAGACAACGTCGAAATATCATCGTCACATGTATATCAACGGTTACAATTCTTATTGTAGATAAAATTTATTTGCCATTTTCTCCACTTAATTGTTAGTACACTGAGTCTATTGCTATTATTGTCCTCTTTTTAGAATCATTTAATTTATCAAAAATTATAAAACTATTAACAATAAAAGTAATATTTCTCAACAGCTTATCAATTTTCACAAAATGATACATCAGCTTTACAAACACATACATACAATTGCACTTCTTGAATATGAAAATTTATACGAAAATATTTTTTTAAATACTTGGGTTGTATTGTTTTGAAATATATGACAAATATTTGACATGTATGACATGTTTGACGTATATGACATATATTTGACATATATGACATATATTTGACCTGAACACATACTATACTGTGAATATTTACTAATTTTATGATCGTTATTTAAAGAAATTTCCATATAAAATGCATCTCGGATTCACTCCCATTTTCCTCCCCATCACACACATTCATTTTTTATCAAAAATATAAAAGAAATCGCGTAAAATCAAGAGAAATATTAACTGTAAAATATTTTATGCCACAATATAATCCAAATGCATTATCACTTACCATTGTCAGAACAAGTAGATGTCGTCGTAACAGACGTAGAAGATGTCGACATGATAATAAAATTATCACAAGTATCTAAAACTTTGGCTTATGCGTTCTGCCTCGGTCAACGACTCTGTAGCAAATGATGTCTTTTTGTCCATGTTTTCTAATTTTCAGAATACAGCGACACCTACTCGACTTGAAAATTTTCTCATTTTTTCTCGAACTCCTCCCCCTAACCCACCGACCACCTCTTCTTTTCCGAGATTGCCTTCACATTTGTCTTAAATTTTCTCTTTTAACCGACCACTTTCTTTTTTTAAAGCCCTTATCAATCATTCAAGACATAAATCACTTTCTAAAAAAGATTTTGTTCATCTCAAGATTTTGGTCAAAGTTATATGAAAATAAAAAAAGGAGATTACAGTCTATATTTACAAAAAAATTCGTTGTATAACATTTTACATAACTAATTATAATATCTACATAGGTGCTAGTCGTCCTAAGAATACTAAAAGCACAAGAAAATTTATAATGAATTTTACGCTTTATTTAACAAAAAATTATCTCCGAGTGGCATAGCATTTTTTATGCTATCGTAGCAAATCTGTGGTTAAATATCTTGAAAAAATATATATGTTTTCAACAGTGACAGATAGTAATTTCGAGAAACGCGAAGAGATCATGCAGGGTAAAAAACGGCGACGCATAACGATGGCATCACCGAGTAACATCATTTGAGTTTGAGACTACCTGCATCAAGAATGCGGCCATTGTTTCGGCGTACGTACTGTTGCGTGCCACATGTGTTTTACAAAAAATTCGGATTGTAACGACAAACGGAACGCGCGACCCCCATAGGAGAGCGTGTAACGCACCTAGACGACAATCGGCCGTCGGAACCGAAAATAGAAGCACGCATCTGGTCGCGACGATCGTAGGAGCGGCGAATAAAATATTCGCGGGAAAATCGCGATATAATGTCGCCAATTATCCGGGAAAGTCGATTCACGTGAAGATTAGCCGCGACAATTACGGGATTGGTATTGAATGAATAGTAGTATGACTAATGTCATTTGCATTTCTTATGACAGCTTGTCTAGATACACTTTCTATTAGTTAATAGCTTGTTAATCGATTTGCGGGAAAAAATTTTTTTTTAATTTTTTTCACGCAGAGTTTCTTCGCAATTAAGGATGATAAAGTGCATTATCAGAAGATGGCATTATATCGAAATTGACAATGAACAAAAATATTCATTTTAGCCGTTAAACGTTTGAAATGCTGGATTCAATGCATCTATAATTTATACGAAAATTTAAAAAATTTTGTATATATGCAATATACATATAAAAGCACTATTAAACTCTCTCCTAATGACTGAAAATAAACAGTAAAATAAACAGTAAAGAAGAAGAAAGCGAGACAATTAACACAAGTGTCAAAAAACTTAACACAAGTGTCAAAAATGTTCTACGTGATGAAGTGAAATGTGCCAGTTGAACGAACGATACGTCTTATCTCCGGTGTCAACTTAACAGATAACTTGGCTCCCAAGACTCGCACCGTAACTGACATTATGTGACGATTACATGATTCCTCTTCATATCGGCCAGTCGATTTCGCTACCGAATAGAGTCGCGCATCCGTAAAATATACGATGTCATCTCGCGCGACATCACAAATCATAAACAAATCGCGATTTTAAGTTCTCGATTGCGCCTGAACGTTGTCAAGGTCTCATCTGTGCTATTCGCGTTTTATTATAAATCTGAAATCTTTTCGCCACAAATATGAAGAAATCGCGTATAAACTCTTTTAGGTCAATCAATTAAAATATTCTTGATTAATCCGGTCATTGATCATAAGTATTTGCATGTCCGTGTTTCGTAAAAAAAAGAAAAAAAATATTTTTATAATAAAGATTTTCTTCTAAAGCAAGAGTATTCAGACAAATAATAATTTCTAAAAAATTTCTAAAATAGCATTATGTAGGACTAATCATCTCCACATTACGGTCGAAAGAAGAGAAAACTTATTTTGAGTCACAGTTTGAATCATATGCGAGGTAACGAATAATTTGTCTAATCACAATCGTTACACGCGACGTGGTTTATAAAGTCAATCTTTCAATAAGCCATCTCTTATAAGATACAACTTTTTGCGCACTAAAACTACAACGGTTAAACCGCAGCGCGATATCATCTCGATATCATCGTGTTATTGCAAATTCTTTGCGCGATAATTATTATTACGGGTCGTATCGTGACGCAATTAACTCAACCGTCGATTATTTAAATCATGAATCTTTTGACAAAGACGATTACTTGTTCGATAACCGTATCCTGTGTATAACCTTCTCAAAACATGGTAGTAGAAATTGGCCGTATCTTATCAGTGATGTGCTTGTACCACATACATTCTTATTTTAATTTAGTACTTCTGTATGTATAAGCGTTATATTCCAATAAAATGGAATGACGTTACTTGAAAATTATTCTTCGATTGTAAAGTTCGATCAATTGTAAATAAGTTAATAGAATAAATGAAAGAGAGAGAGAGAGAGAGAGAGAGAGAGAGTGAAATGTCAATATACTCAAAATAATTACCGTAATTTTAACGGACACTGTAATTTCTCTTTGAATTCTTTAACAATTAATCAAAAATGGTAATAGAAATCGCTCTTATCTTATCATTCGTCCTTATATTAGCAATTCCTTGACGTTAATACGACAGAAAATGGGGTATGCCGTTCACAAAAAAATACTAAAAGAAATACTAAAATCTCTCTTATTCCTTGAATAGTTCCCATTAAAGATCGCTTTAAAATTATTTATTTGCGATTGAATTCCCAGATATGCATGATTCATTAACGATTTTAATTTAAAAAAAAACATTGTTTTCTCCCAGCTTTTAAAAAGAATTATATGTATATCCCGTGATTTAGCCCAAAATTAAGTATTATTTTAAAGTGAAATTTATATTTAA